TTGCAATTCATTATAAATAAATTAGAAAATCAAATAATTTTCTTTTAGTTAATTTCCTTTTTGCTTCTAAGCTATGATTCTCAAGCATTGACATGTGCACATTAGTCTTAACCAACTCCTTTTGTTGGTGCCAACAATGAATTAATTTTTAAGGGGAATTTTATGGTTAATCACTAATGTGATGTTGGCTATTAAATTCACTAAAAAGTGTAATGAAATTTTACGGTTAATCGCTTAATGTCCTAAGAACAAAGAGAAAATAAATTATGGAGACGTTAACCAAAAAGAGCCCCACTAAGAAACTAACCAAAAAAAAAAATTATATAGATAAGACATGACCCAAAATTATATTCAAAACTGTATAAGCTAAAGTTACATCGTTATTTATAATTATAAGAAAACTACTAGACCTTCCCCAAAGAGATGATATTAGAACTACCATTTCTATAAATATGCAATTAGAATCATTCTTATATGTGGTTTGGTGATTATTTATTTCTTAAGATTAGTTATGATTGGCGTTCTGTTCTATTTAAGTTAATGAAGGAACACAAAAAAATATACAAAGTCTAAGAGTCTAAAAAGGATAGATATTCGATTTGATAAACTCGAAATTCTAAAAGGGATAGACATCCAATTCTAACAAACTCTGTATTTAATTTTTAAGGAGTAATTATTCTCTTAGTGAATTAAAAACCTCTAAATCATCCTAGTAGGAATTTTTTATTTTCAATGAGTAATGCAAATTCTTTTTGTAGTGTCGATCTGATTTGATGAAGTATTTGTAAACAAAGAATATGCTTGATCAAAAAGCAACGTGAGAATTTATTTTGTTGTAATGAAGCTTTAATTCTTTAAATTAGTAAGAAGACTCGGTCTTTGTTTAATGCACATTCGTCTAATTAAGAAAAAAAGATACCATCGTAGACTTACTATACAAAATTTTGTCCATTAATTGGAGCTTCTATAAGCAGGAGTGAATTATTCTCTAGGAACCTAACATAAATCATCAGTTTCGATAAACGTTTAAGTAAATCAACAGTTAGAATTCACTCCAAAATTAACGATTTAGTAACGACTGAGTTAATATTAAAAATAGTATTAAACAAGCTTAATTACTCACATTTCTACTATAGCATAAATAGTCGCTCTATTCGTTTCAATTTTTCATTGCAATAGACTGCTCTTGATCAATTAACTCCTAGTAATACGAAAAGACAAAAAAATTTACCAATCAAACATGTCAGGCAAAGCTCAACAAACCATTCAATTACTGCTTCTGGCCACTTGGATTGCAATGTTGGTGCAACCAAGTCACACCCAGCTATTACCTGGATTTCCAGGAATTCCTGGACTTCCAGGAACTTCTCAAATTAATCAGTGTTTGGCGTCCTTTAATGGTATTGAAGGATGCTTGCTGTCACTTTTCACTTTTCCAATTGGAGGTCTTACCCCTTCCTCTTCTTGTTGTAATGCAATTCTAAATATCAGCAAGAGTTGTTGGTCAGTTTTTTTCCCCTTAGCCCCTTATGCTCCACAACTGATTCAGAACTTTTGCGACACTCCAAAGGCATTCGCAGCATCTCCTAAATGAGTTTCTTTTTTTTTTTATTTTAAATTCAACAGAAATTAACCAATTTTTAGTTCTCCTAAGTCATTAATATAGTGGAGATTTATGGTTTTATTTTATTTTATTATGGCAAAGAGAATATACTTTAGCTATGTGATTGAAGTTTAAATTTATTTTTCCAAATAATTCTAGCGAAAATAAAAATTAATTTTCTTTTAGTGCATTATTTGTTTTCTTATAGACTTCTTCCTTTTTGTTTCAAAGCTATGAATATATAAGCAAGTATATTCTCAGGCTTTCTTTTTTGCTTCAATTCTAATCCCTACAATACATTTTCATATAATTCTTAATGTGTATAATTATAATATTACTTTTACACTAGTGTCACATTTTTAAATTATCTAAAAAATTAACAGGAATTGATCAAATCAGGCCATGAGAACAAAGAGAGAATAAATTATGCAGAAATTTTTTATAAAAAAAACCCGCAGAAAACTATCAAGAATACATAATATAAGTACAAATGATTTAGATATTTTTTATAAATATTGAACTATAATGTTATAAATGTTGCAATGTTATAACGTAAATATATCTAAAAGTTTCATAATTGGCTGAATTTAAATATACATGTATATACATATATGTATATATATATATAAACTAAATTCATCTTCTTCAAAAATCCAAAAGAAATCAACTAAAATTAGGTGTATTCAGTGTATCAATAGAGATTTTTAGATTTTAGCTTTATCCAATTTAGGTTTAAATTCATTTTTTCTTTCAATTCTCAGCAAAATAAAGGTTGATACACCCTTTTCTTTTTCTTTGACTTCATTATTCAATTTTTTTGTTCTCACATGCTAAGCATACATGCCAATCAATATTCTAATCGCATATATATATATATATATATATATATATATCATCAATTTGAGATGTCCATATTTTTCTTATGTAATTTTTCTAAATGTTAGAGTTTTGGTTATTTTAATTTTCTAAATGTTCTCTTTTTAATATTATAATTAATTTATAATAAATTAATATTTATTTTTTAAAAAAAGATTACCATGTTTCTTTTTAATGAATTTACTAATTAATTTTAAAGAATTTTTTAATTTAATTTTAAGGTTTTTAAAGTTTTAAACATAGTGCCAAATGCTTTCACAATTTTAAGATTATTATTTTTATATAATTCATATAAATCGCAAATATGTACAAACTCAAAAAAACATATTATTCCTTTAAAAAAAATATATATTATAAAAAATAAATTTTAAAATTTAAATTTATAGTACTTTCTAGTTTTAAACACCATGTGTAATTATTCAAAATACTCTAAGTCCTTTTTAATAAATTTTATAGTATTTCAATACATATATACTACCAATTTGTGTTAAAATTTAACCCCAAATTTAATGGCTTAATTAGTAACCACTTCATTAATGGTTTAATTAAAATATGATATAAATTTTGAGTGCGGAAGCGAAATAAAAAGTTCTGACTAATATCCCTTACACAATAACCGAAATGTACTAACAATATGAAAGAATAAGTTAACTAAAGGAAATACTAGAAATGAAATATTATAAAGAAAGCTATAAAATATTTAGGCATCTACTTGCCGTCTTCCTGCGGAATGGGCTCGTGAACCAAGTCCTCCTTATATGAAATAGTTAAGTAAGGATGTCACACTATATCACTGTCACAAAAGTAAAGGTTGGTAGAAAAACAAAAACGACCAATGGAGTACAATTTTTAACAAATTCATTAATCAATAATAAAACCATCTACTATCCACTTACCTCGGTGAGATTTATGAAAATGACCCATAGAAACAATAACATCAAAGATATCATGAATTCATACATACTCTGTAACATAGCACATGTCATACTTTTATTTTTCAATCATCAAACAATAATTTTCCTCTTTTATCAGCCTACCAGTATCAATGGGGATCCATAGGGGTCCCCGCTACACGTGAAACATTAAGTTAAATAACTTAATTCCAGAGCCGTCCCCATACCCCGTTCGGTATGGGTGCCAAAACATTTAAAGTCTTCATACCTCATCCGGTATGAGACAACGTTCCCGATAGGGTTCCCTATGGAGCTGGTCCGTCCACCATCTCCCAGAATATCTAGTGAGACTATCAACTTATCCATTTATCAATTCACATACCATTTTCCATTCTTTTCTTAGTTTTCTATTTCTCACATAAATGTGAACACTTAAACAAGTAACGTGCATTCAACGAGGCAAGCATACACTAAATCCACGAAACCAAGCAACAGTGAATCATGCATCCGAAACCATAGAATAAATAAGCCACCTATCGTAACGCATTTAAAACCATAAAATAAATAAAACAGGAACTGACCGAAAAGTATATCAGATTCGGGCTCCATTAGCAACCTTAAGTAATTACGTGTATCTATATAATTCATAAAATACAGTTTTATCATTCAATTGAACTTTAATTCCACGATAGGAAATAGGGTGAGGGATCCTTACTTGATTCGAAGTCTAAAATCGATTTTTCACTGCGCCTACGGGTAGTCCCTAGATTCCCTGAATTTTTTTTTGGGAACTGAAACGCACTTACAGTACCTGCACATGTCCCCAAATAACTCAAAATCACATTCAGGGCCTACTCGACCAATTTTAAAATTCCGTCACGGCGGTGATCCGCCTTGGGTTGGTTGTTTCCGACCGTTTTCGGCCGAATTCGGCCAAACTTGTATTGGTTCCTGTGATAAAATACCCATAGGGCCCTCGGTGGGCTGAAAAAATATAGAAAATCGAAACTTATCGGCGGATATAAATATCAGTTGGGCTGGCATGATTGTAATGTTATAGCCCACGAACTCGGCCGACTGTCAAGCTCTGTTCATCATTTCCATGTTCGGGAGACATTACCCAATGTGATATTTGCACTACTTAATTAATTAATGCATTATTTTTTTTTTAAAAAAACATATTATTAAAAACATATTTTAAAATTCAAATTTATTATACTTTCTAATTTTAAACACCATGAGTAATTATCCACAATAATTTAAGTCATTTTTAATAATTTTTATAGTATTTAAATATATATAATAAAACTTTAAAATTTAAATCCAAAATTAATGGCTTAATTAGTAACCACTTACCTAATGGTTTAATTAAAAGATAACAGTAAAGAAAATTTATGGTTTGGGGGGTTTTTATTAATAAAAATACTAATTAAAAACCTAAAATCACTATTATATAAACACCAACTCTCTTTGTTTCAACCATTCATCCCATTAGCCTTCTCTTCATCAACCAATTCTTTTTCCGTCGGAACATAACTCCAATCAAGCATGTCAAGCAAGGCTCAACAAAGCATTATAGTATTGTTTATAGTTACATGGATTACAACGTTGATGCCATTAACCTACTCTCAACTAATACCAGGATTGCCTAGATTTCCAGGATTACCTGGAATTCCGGGAACACCAGGACTTCCGGGAATTCCTAAAATTCCTGGACTTCCTGGAACTCCGGGACTTCCGGGGATTCCTGGAATTCCGGGAACTCCGGGACTTCTGGGACTTCCGGGAACTCCGGGACTTCCGAAAATTCCTGGACTTCTGGGAACTCCGGGACTACCGGGAACTCCGGGACTACCGGGAATTCCGAAAATTCTGGGACTTCCGGGAACTCCGGGACTACCGGGAATTTCAGGAATTCCGGGACTTCCGGGAACTCCGGGACTTCCGGGAATTCCTGGAATTCCGGGACTTCCAGGAACTCCAGGACTTCCTGGAATTCCGGGACTTCCGCGAATTCCTGGAATTCCGGAAACTCCAGGATTGCCTAGATTTTCAGGAGTTCCAGGAATTCCAAGACTTCCAGGAATTTCAGGATTGCCTAGATTTCCAAGGATTCCAGGAGTTCCAGGAACTCCAGAATTTGCTCAGATTAACCAGTGTTTTGCATCACTAAATAGCATTCAGCGATGTCTGCCATCGCTTTTCACTTACCCAATTAGTGGTCTCACCCCTTCCTCTTCATGCTGCAATGCATTTTTAAATATCAACGAAAATTGTTGGTCATTTATTTTCCCCTTAGTCCCAAATACTCCACAACTGATTCAGAACTTTTGCAGCACTCAAAAAGCATCTCCACCACCTCTTGAATGAGTTCAGCTTTTTCAAGCCCCATGGAAAATCAACCAATTTCTAAGTACCCTAAATTAAGTAATTCATTGGAGATTTAAGATTTTATTGTATTTTCTTCTGATAAAGAAATGTTTAGTTTGTTGAATTGAGCTTAAATAGTTTTGTTTAATGCAAGTAATTCTATCATAAATAAAAATTGAAAAACATTAATTTAGTTCATTTTCTATTTTCTTACATTTGTTTTTCTTTTTTCTTTTCAACGTATCTATATATATAGTTATTTTTGCTTCTCAACACATATATAGTTAAATATATTATCAACCATCATCAATAGATCGGTATTAATAGAATTTGCTCCTAATAGATCCAACGGCTTTTTATAATCCCAGTAAATCTTACAATTGAATTTCATATTAGTCTTGAAATATATAATTATCATATGATTAAATAATATTAAAGGTACTAATAATTCATATCAAAGAGATAAAGTATTTTTGATACGATATTCACAACATTCAAATTTTTCAAAATATTAAATATTTTTCTGACCATTCAAAATCATCAAAGAGATTCGTGAGAACTATTATTTCTGTATAAACGTAATTAGATATTTTTCTTATACCTCTTTAAATACTTTACAGAAGGACAACCACAATATCTCAATGAAATCAAAGGTAACTATATGGTTAGGAAGAATTACTTATTTCGTATTTAAATATATCATTGAAAATCTTATTGAGAGACACATTCACCGAGATATACAATACTATGTATGCAAAATGTAATAAGATTTATTTAGTTATTTATTCAACAAAGTGTATAGTTAGTATATACCTCCTATATATACACGCAAAAACATAACATCAGATTCTAAAGATTTCCTCATTTTCAATTAAAAAAAAATGCAATTTTTGTTTTAGTGTTTTGACAGAGTTTGATTAAGTATTAGAATGCAAAGAACAAACTTAACAACATGAATTTGTTCTCAGTTTTAATAAGTTCTATAAATATGTATTAAGAGAAAGTTTAAAATCCACATAATATTATATTTTATATCCCCATACGAGATTGGCCTAGGAGAATATTATTATTTTATTATTGTTATGCGGGTGTAGAAAAACTTCTTATTGTAGCTTTAAGACAGTAATCCGTAGACAATGAGAGTGATACATTTAATCAGAAAAAATGTTATCATGATAGATTTAGTATATATAATTTTTTCCCTTAGTGAGAGCTTGGATAAATTCTTTTTAAAAAAAAAAAAATATTTTTTGGGTAGACTAAGAGACGACAAAATCCCTGTAGATAAATATAAATTATCATATTCTATAACTAATGTTCAAGTAAATCTACCGTTAGAATTTGATCCAAAATTAATAACTTAATAACCATTAAATTAATGTTGTAATTTAAAAATGGTAATTAAGAATCTCAATAAGTTTCATTTCTGTTATAAAATAAATACTCATTCTCTTCATTTCAACCGTTCATCCTTGTAAGCTGCTCTTTTTTATCAATCAACTCTAGTACTAACAAAAAGTAAAAAATCTACTAATCAAATATGTCTAGCAAAACTCAACAAGCTGGTCCACTATTGCTTTTGGTCACATGGGTTGCGATATTGGTCTAACCAGGACACGCCCAGTTGCTACCAAGATTTCTGAAAATTTCAGGACTTCCAATAACTTCACAAATTAATCAGTGTTTAGCATCTTTGAGTGGCATTCAAGAGTGCATGTCATCACTTTTTACTTTTCCAATTGGTGGTCTTAACCCTTCCTCTTCCTGCTGCAACACATTTGTAAATATCAATTATAAATATCAATAAGATTTGTTGGTCTCTTTTTTTCCCCTTAACCCCTTATACTCCACCACTGATCGAGAACTTCTGCAACATTTAAAAGTCATCTTCACCTCATGCTAAATAATTTCCGTTTCTTCAAATGCAAAAGGAAATCAACCAAATTCTAGTGCTCATAAGTTAGTAAGTTAGTGGAGATTTAATGTTTTATTCAAGTAAGAAGGAAATGCTTGGTTGGGTTAATGAGGTATAAATCTATTTTTGCAATTCATTATAAATAAATTAGAAAATCAAATAATTTTCTTTTAGTTAATTTCCTTTTCGCTTCTAAGCTATGATTCTCAAGCATTGACATGTGCACATTAGTCTTAACCAACTCCTTTTGTTGGTGCCAACAATGAATTAATTTTTAAGGGGAATTTTATGGTTAATCACTAATGTGATGTTGGCTATTAAATTCACTAAAAAGTGTAATGAAATTTTACGGTTAATCGCTTAATGTCCTAAGAACAAAGAGAAAATAAATTACGGAGACGTTAACCAAAAAGAGCCCCACTAAGAAACTAACCAAAAAAAAAATTATATAGATAAGACATGACCCAAAATTATATTCAAAACTGTATAAGCTAAAGTTACATCGTTATTTATAATTATAAGAAAACTACTAGACCTTCCCCAAAGAGATGATATTAGAACTACCATTTCTATAAATATGCAATTAGAATCATTCTTATATGTGGTTTGGTGATTATTTATTTCTTAAGATTAGTTATGATTGGCGTTCTGTTCTATTTAAGTTAATGAAGGAACACAAAAAAATATACAAAGTCTAAGAGTCTAAAAAGGATAGATATTCGATTTGATAAACTCGAAATTCTAAAAGGGATAGACATCCAATTCTAACAAACTTTGTATTTAATTTTTAAGGAGTAATTATTCTCTTAGTGAATTAAAAACCTCTAAATCATCCTAGTAGGAATTTTTTATTTTCAATGAGTAATGCAAATTCTTTTTGTAGTGTCGATCTGATTTGATGAAGTATTTGTAAACAAAGAATATGCTTGATCAAAAAGCAACGTGAGAATTTATTTTGTTGTAATGAAGCTTTAATTCTTTAAATTAGTAAGAAGACTCGGTCTTTGTTTAATGCACATTCGTCTAATTAAGAAAAAAAGATACCATCGTAGACTTACTATACAAAATTTTGTCCATTAATTGGAGCTTCTATAAGCAGGAGTGAATTATTCTCTAGGAACCTAACATAAATCATCAGTTTCGATAAACGTTTAAGTAAATCAACAGTTAGAATTCACTCCAAAATTAACGATTTAGTAACGACTGAGTTAATATTATAAATAGTATTAAACAAGCTTAATTACTCACATTTCTACTATAGCATAAATAGTCGCTCTATTCGTTTCAATTTTTCATTGCAATAGACTGCTCTTGATCAATTAACTCCTAGTAATACGAAAAGACAAAAAAATTTACCAATCAAACATGTCAGGCAAAGCTCAACAAACCATTCAATTACTGCTTCTGGCCACTTGGATTGCAATGTTGGTGCAACCAAGTCACACCCAGCTATTACCTGGATTTCCAGGAATTCCTGGACTTCCAGGAACTTCTCAAATTAATCAGTGTTTGGCGTCCTTTAATGGTATTGAAGGATGCTTGCTGTCACTTTTCACTTTTCCAATTGGAGGTCTTACCCCTTCCTCTTCTTGTTGTAATGCAATTCTAAATATCAGCAAGAGTTGTTGGTCAGTTTTTTTCCCCTTAGCCCCTTATGCTCCACAACTGATTCAGAACTTTTGCGACACTCCAAAGGCATTCGCAGCATCTCCTAAATGAGTTTCTTTTTTTTTTTTTTTAAATTCAACAGAAATTAACCAATTTTTAGTTCTCCTAAGTCATTAATATAGTGGAGATTTATGGTTTTATTTTATTTTATTATGGCAAAGAGAATATACTTTAGCTATGTGATTGAAGTTTAAATTTATTTTTCCAAATAATTCTAGCCAAAATAAAAATTAATTTTCTTTTAGTGCATTCTTTGTTCTTATAGACTTCTTCCTTTTTGTTTCAAAGCTATGAATATATAAGCAAGTATATTCTCAGGCTTCCTTTTTGCTTCAATTCTAATCCCTACAATATATTTTCATATTATTCTTAATGTGTATAATTATAGTATTACTTTTACACTCATGCCACATTCTTAACTTAGCTAAGGAATTAACAAGAATTGATCAAATCAGGCCATGAGAACAAAGAGAGAATAAATTATGCAGAAATTTTTATAAAAAAAAACTCACAAAAAACTAGCAAAAATACAGAATATAAGTAAAATTTAGACATTTTATATAAATATTGAACTATAATGTTATAAATGTTGCAATGTTATAACGTAAATATATCTAAAAGTTTCATAATTGGCTGAATTTAAATATACATATACATTGTAACACCCAAATTTATTATTTTTATTTTTTAATTTATTTTAATTTATATTAGAATTTTTGTTTAATTTTTCAATATTTAATTTATAAGCTTTTAATTTAATTTAATTTAATAAAAATAAAAATAATAATAATGACAAAATAAGGTAAAATTATTTTTGGGATTTAATTAAAATTGATTTTGGAAAAAAGGGGTGAAAATTAGGATTTTGGGGGTGTTTTTGAAAAGAAAATCGGAAACCAGGGGTCAAAATGTAATTTAGAAAAGTTGTGCTATGTCAGCAGCCACGTCTACAGCCCAGTCAGTAGCCCTGGCCAACCAGAACACGCTGTGTGGAAAGGAAGCTGACGCGGGAGGCCACGCGGGACGGAGCCACGTGGGCGATTCGCGTGCACGCGATCGAACGGTCCAGATCTCACGCGTGCGGATGGCCCAGATCTCACGCGTGCGGACGGCCTATATTGAATCACGCACGGATAACCCAGATCACATCGCGATCGACGGTCCAAATTTATTCCTATTTTAATCGCGATCGGACGGTCAAAATTAAATCGTGATGGACGGCTGAGATTAAAAGGGGAAGGTTA